GGGGCCTCTCCTAGGTCACATGAAGGAAGTTGGTGACCTGGCAGAACCTTGGAACTTCTTTGGTTTTGGCAAGGATGAACCCTAGCCAGCCTACTCCCAGCTCTGCATGAGTCAGCATTCCCTAAGCGCCCATGTAAGCAGCGTAGGGTATAGGGTTTCAAGGGGTTCAGAGGCCAGTGGCCAGCCCTGCACCAGCTACATGCTGTCTGGGTGGAAACAATCAAGGCTGCAGGCGCCCAAGAAGGATGTTGGGCCTGCGCTGCAGAGATTGCCAAAGGGGTGGCTACCTCGGAGATAGTAGTAAATAGAGCAGCCTGCAGAGAAAGATGTCCCACTGTATTAGGTCTGAAAAGAAATGCCAGAGTAGAGAGGACTTGGCAAGAGTTCTCACTGTTGCTCACAGCCTGGGAGGGGAAACACGCAACTACATCTACTTTGGTCACCCACACTGGAGGTGTTTTAGGAGAATTGGCTGTGGTGGAACTGGCCCAGAGCAATGTTGTACACCCTACAGCTGCTACCCACGAGTGTAGTCACTACTGAGTCATGAAGCTGGCTTGCTTTGTCAGCTGAATCCTTGACCACCTGTGCCTTGGCTTCCTCACATGTAAACAAGGACACTTAAACAGTAATATCCTCCAGGATCTCTGTGAAGATTCTATGTACTGACATGTGAAAATGGCCACTTAAAACAGCATTTGACCATGGGAGGCTCCTTCTGAGCCATTAGGTATCTTTATCCAATCTCTGTGTGTTGCTTCCCTGCTGTGCCTTCATGGCCTTAAAAGGTACCTGTACAAGAGCAGTAGCTAAACTTTGCTAATAAGCAAAGGAAACAGTTTCAGTTCAAACAGCTCCAGAAAGAAACCATCTGACAGGATTCCAATGAAGCTGTTTTTTTTGACATTATCTGATAATGTCAGCTGCCCATGAATGCAGCTGGTCATCTACATAGGAGCTGCTTTTTAAGGCAGTATGAGGTCATGTTATTTAGGGTATAACAACTGGCATGGGAGGGGGGAACTCAATATGGCTTCGAGTTCTCCACTTCCAGGACTCTTAGATTCTCCACCAGATGACTTATGACAGAGGCCAGGGGCTCATCACTTTCAATGGGAGAAAAATGAGCTTCTAAGTAATACAACACATTTGAACTGGAGGTGTGGTCGAGTAGTAGAGAACCTGCTTTGCAAGTCAAAGCCTGAGTTCAACCCAGTACCACCAAAATGATATATAAAATAATACAGCACATTCATGACACCAGATGAGGAAATGGACAAAAGATTCAAGGACCAAGCTCAGGGTTCTCAGAATTATTCTGTCACTGCTGGATACTGACAAACAGGACAAGACATAGATCTTCTAATTTCTAAACTAAAACTCCTTATCTACCAATGTCAGAATTTTCTCTTGGGCAGATTACAGATTTAGGACAGGAAGAACATGGCCACCATAGCTAGCCACTTCACTTTCTCTTCACACCATGCCCCTGTGCTTACCCCATCCAAATACTAATGAGGCCTGAATTCGCTCCTGGCAGGCAAGAAAAAGATAGGGAGAGAGAGAGAGAGAGAGAGAGAGAGAGAGAGAGACAGAGAGACTGAGACTCTGACAGCCAGATGGGTGGCCCTGAGAGAAGATATAGCCTCTAAGGACACACCCCTTCCTCTAGAGAGGCCCCACATTCTGAACATTCCAGAACCTCAAACAGTGTCACCAGCTAGGAGCCAAGCTTTCAATACATGAGCCTTTTCTGGGGAAACACGTCATATCCAAATCATAACAGCCTCTAGTTCACAGACTTATGTGTCTGGTGGGGGGGGTACTGGGAGTTGAACTCAGGGCTTTGCACTATTAGGTAGGCACACTACCACTTAAGCCATGCCTCTATCCCAGAAGTTAAAACTTCGTTTTCCTCTACTCAGAAGCGCCTAGACACCATCAATAGCTACAGCAAGGTAGCAGGATATAAAATCAACATAGAAAATCATTAGCATTTCTATACACTAACAATGAGCAAACTGAAAAAGGATGTATGAAAACAATTCCATTTACAATAGCCTCAAAAAAATCAAATACCTAGGTGTAAACCTAACAAAAGATGTGAATGACCTCTACAAGGAAAAACTATACACTTCTGAAGAAAGAGATTGAGGAAGACGATAGAAAGTGGAGAGATCGCCCATGTCATGGATTGGTAGAATCAACATAGTAAAAATGTCGATACTCCCAAGTAATCTACATGTTTAATGCAATTCCCATCAAAATTCCAATGACATTCATTAAAGAGATTGAAAAATCTACTGTTAAATTTATATGGAAACACAAGAGGCCACGAATAGCCAAGGTAATACTCAGTCAAAAGAACAATGCTGGAGGTATCACAATACCTGACTTCAAACTATATTACAAAGCAATAACAATACAAAACAGCATGGTACTGGCACAAAAACAGACATGAAGACCAGTGGAACAGAATAGAGGACCAGATATGAAGCCACACAACTATAACCAACTTGTCTTTGACAAAGGAGCTAAAATATACAATGGAGAAAAGCAGCCTCTTCAACAAAAACTGCTGGGAAAACTGGTTAGCAGTCTGCAAAAAACTGAAACTAGATCCATGTATATCACCCTATACCAAGATTAACTCAAAATGGATCAAGGATCTTAATATCAGACCCAAACTCTTAAGTTGATACAGGAAAGAGTAGGAAATACTCTGGAGTTAGTAGGTATAGGTAAGAACTTTCTCAATGAACCCCAGCAGCACAGCAACTAAGAGATAGCATAGATAAATGGGACTCATAAAACTAAAAAGCTTCTGTCATCAAAAGAAATGGTCTCTAAACTGAAGAGAACACCCACAGAGTGGGAGAAGATATTTGCCAGCTACACATCAGACAAAGGACTGATAACCAGAATATATAGGGAACTTAAAAAACTAAATTCTCCCAAAACTAATGAACCAATAAAGAAATGGGCAAGTGAACTAAACAGAACTTTCTCAAAAGAAGAAATTCAAATGGCGAGAAAACACATGAAAAAATGCTCACCATCTCTAGCAATAAATTAAAACCACACTAAGATTGCACCTCACCCCTGTTAGAATAGGCATCATTAGCAACACCACCACCAACAGGTGTTGGCAAGGATGCAGGGACAAAGGAACCCTCTTACACTGTTGGTGGGAATGTAACTAGTACAACCACTCTGGAAAAAAATTTGGAGGCTACTTAAAAAGCTAAACTTGATCTACCATTTGATCCAGCAATACCACTCTTGGGGATATACCCAAAAGACTGTGACACAGGTTACTCCAGAGGCACCTGCACACCCATGTTTATTGCAGCACTATTCACAATAGCCAAGTTATGGAAACAGCCAAGATGCCCCACACTGACGAATGGATTAAGAAAATGTGGTATCTATACACAATGGAATTTTATGCAGCCATGAAGAAGAACGAAATGTTATCATTCGCTGGTAAATGGATGGAATTGGAGAACATCATTCTGAGTGAGGTTAGCCTGGCCCAAAAGACCAAAAATCGTATGTTCTCCCTCATATGTGGACATTAGATCAAGGGCAAACACAACAAGGGGATTGGACTTGAGCACATGATAAAAGCGAGAGCACACAAGGGAGGGGTGAGGATAGGTAAGACACCTAAAAAACTAGCTAGCATTTGTTGCCCTTAATGCAGAGAAACTAAAGCAGATACCTTAAAGCAACTGAGGCCAATAGGAAAAGGGGACCAGGAACTAGAGAAAAGGTGAGATCAAAAGGAATTAACCTAGAAGGTAACACCCACGCACAGGAAATCAATGTGAGTCAATGCCCTGTATAGCTATCCTTATCTCAACCAGCAAAAACCCTTGTTCCTTCCTATTTATTGCTTATACTCTCTCTACAACAAAATTAGAGATAAGGGCAAAATAGTTTCTGCTGGGTACTGAGGGGGGTGGAGCGGGAGGGGGGGAGTGGGTGGTAAGGGGGGGGTGGGGGCAGGGGGAGAAATGAACCAAGCCTTGTATGCACATATGAATAATAAAAGAAAAATGAAAAAAAAAAAAGTTAAAAAGAAAAAAAAAATAAATAAATAAAAAGACTTTTGTGACTAGCAGAGGAAATATGAAGATGGACTGAATATTAGGTGATAGTATGGAAACAGTATTAACTGCTTAGGTGTGAAGGTACTTGTTCTTAGGAGACATGTGCTAGAGTATTTAGAGGTGAAGGGCTGTAATCCCTACTACTTATATTCAAATGGTCCATCAACTGATAAAGATAAAGCAAATATAACAAAAGTATTAAAAAAATTAAATCTAGGTGTAGGTACACAGGTTATGATGACATTCTTTCAATTTTCTTTATGTCTAAAAATTCTTCAAATAAAAAGCTGAGAAAACAAAAACAATCATAAAAGATAACGAAAACTGGAGGTTTGCTCATCTTATGCAAGCTCTAATTTCCCAGTTGCCCAAAATTAAAAAAGGGGCTTAAAAGTGGTTGGAAAAGTATGGGGAAAAAAACAGACAACTACTCACATTTTCCCCACCTCATGTCAGACAATATAAAAAGTTCACATAGAAGCTCTTTGTTAAAGGAATGTCATATGCCCTGGCCCCCAAACCTTGAATTTAAAGGTTCTAACTCCTGAGATAGAATGGACTGGTTCTATGGTTTTTGTGAGGGCTGTTTCCAATACTCACAGGGTTCTCCTTGCAGTCTTCGCTCAGCATCTCAGGAGCAATCCAGCCTTCGGTGCCAGGCACCCCAGAACGGCGGCTGAAGCTGTGCCTGCCCACTGCCAGCTTCTTGCAAAGGCCAAAGTCAGAGATCATGGCCTTGATCCTGCCATGTGCATTGGGCATGGAGAGGAGAATGTTGTGGGGTTTCAGGTCTCTGTGAACTAAGAGAGAACTCCAGATTTAACCAATGTTTACCATGAGTGACCCTGGCCTCCTACAAGGTGAAGTGTGTCCTGTCAGATCTCCAATACAACTGCTTTAAAGGTTCCGGTTTTCAAGTACCTAAGATCCTTCTTCCAATTCTCATATAATTTGTCAAGAGATACCCTTTACCTATTAACATCAGTGATGTAGCAAACAGCTTAAGCAGAGGCAAGGCCTACTTACACTAGTTGGCCAACACCACCCGGGCTCTTGGCTTAGCAAAAGGGAGTCTCTCACCAATGTTAAGGGAATGGAGGTGTGCCAGCCCTGAGGTGGTTTGCTGCAGCAAGGTGATGGGCTCCAGACCAAGGTGGGCAAAGTCCTTCTGTTCCACATACTGCAAGACACATATGATGACAAGGTCATGGCACACAGCCTTCAGGACTTCTTGGACCCTGAGCTCATTTCCTTTGATTCCATTATTTCACAGCATTTTCTATCCAAATCTATATTTTCCAAGAGATCTCCTAAAGTTATAGGCTGACTTAAATAAACAAAGCTCCAATTTACTAATTTGTAATGAGGAAGATAAGAAGACAAGACACTCAAGTTCACTGTTTCCTATAGGTAAACCTGCAGGGGCACCCAAATGACACTGAAATATTTCAAGGTGACCCTGGAAATGGGGCATAGTTTGCAAGATGCTCTTTTAGCCTGGAGTCATCAACCAGCAACCTCTAAGCCCACATTAGTCATGACCAGAGATATGAAGAAAAACTGAACAAGTACACTGGAGGCAAAGGGGCAGAGACGTACAACCCAAGACTGCCCAGGCATGCTGAGTGGACCACACCAGTAAAACTGGGGTAATACAAATGCTCTACATTTGGTGGTGTTAAAAACATATGTGTCAACATACATCAACTGTACATTTAAAATGAGAATATTTCATTGTACTATAGCTTCAATAAAGTTAATTTAAAAATTAACCAATAATAAATCAGCAGTACTTAAAATGACATCACAGTTGGTAGGGGAAGGGAAAGCTACTGTGGCTGTGGCAAAGCTGTCACTGAAGACCAGTCAGACCTACCTCCTGCAAGGTGGCCGCACACAGCTCAATGGCAATGTACTGGAACTGCCGATCCCTCTCCGTGCAGAAGTAACGGATCACGTTTGGGTGCTCATCTGATTCTCGCAGCAGCTGGACCTCACGGTCTGCGAAGCTAAAACACTCAGGAAGGATCCTCTTCACGGCCACATCGCGGTTGTCAAACATACCCCTGTAGGACAAGCAGCAGCAGGTGAGTTTGGCTAGTGCATGTTGGGCTGTAGAAACAAGATGAGATCTGTGGACTCCCAGCAGCCACCTCAGCCTCAGAGCCCAGAGGCCCTGACCAACCACCAGCAGCCCCATGGTCATCACTTTTCTTGGCATGTGAGTTCCCTAGAGGGACACTGCTGTGCCCCTAGAGCCTACACTTGGCCTTTAATCTCATAGGCACTCACACACCTAGTGGGGAGGATGGAGGTCTGGCTACTCCACTCACCGGTATACAATTGTGCCCTCAGCTCCATGACCTAGGACATCCTTGGGACAGAATGAAATCTTCCCAACAATCACCATGCTGGTTTCCTCATCTGGGACAAAACAGGAAAAAGAAGAGGTTATTTTAAACAGGTATCACCTAAAGAACTTAAGAGGTTAAAGGCTAAAACTCCCCAGCCTCCCAGCTTCCTGCCGTCTGGTTGAGAGCTGGGATTTAAGATGCTCTATCCCCAGGATTCCTGCTAGACAAAAGCCAGCTGGGACGAGGCCTCTCCACGCTGCCTGTGCCTTTACATTGTCATGAAAATGTGTCTTAAAACCTTCCCAAAGACAAAATTCTTATAGTATCTGATATATTCATATTTATTTACTTATAGTTTGAGTATTTAATGGTTGATGAAAATGAGAAAAAAAAAAAAAAAAAAAAAAAGATCCACCTCAAAAACCTGTGCCTGAAACACTCTAGATGTCAGGGCCAAGGGCCCTGCTCAGTGTCTGTGTCAATCTCCCCAGTAGAATTTCCCAAGAGGGAACTGGGTCCCGCTGCACTTTTCTACGTTGCCACCACTGGCCTCGGGAATCCTCTGAAGCCAGATGGGAAACATCTCTCTGTCAAAAGGGGTTCCCAGCTCTGTGGGGAAAGACGGAGGGAGGCCAAGGTGACTCTGGGAAGGCCCTCTGAAGGGAGATGCCATGACATGGGGCTCACAGAGTGTGAGGAAGTCAGAGAAGAACAGGGTGGGCCCTTGGGAAAGGTACTTTATTATTTCATGGAGACTCTTAAGAAAGACATGGAGACTCTGTGGTTCTCAGGTGATGTTCAAACAAAAGATAAAATGGCAACTGGCTTTACCCTCATCGTCTTGCTCTAGGGAGGGGCTGGAACCAGCCTTGGAGGCAGAGCTGCTGGAGTGGAGTGAGTGGTTGGAGGCTCTGGGTGATGGGCTAGGGCTGCTGGTGCCTGAGCTCTCTGAGTAGGGGCCAGATGTGTCTAGTAAATCGGCATCCTGGGCTGTATCTCCATGTGGGTGGAAGGGCAGCTGCTGCTGCTGCAAGAGCTGGATTTTTTTCAATTCCTTCTGGAACTGCTGGTGCTGGAGCTGGTGCTGCTGATGCATGCTCTGTGAAGAGAAACCCACATTCAGACAAAGGCAGTTGTTCCAGCAGGGAAAGGGCTCTCCCCATGGCAGAGAAAGCCAGTGTACTTTATGACACCCAAGGCATAAGAAGACCAAGGAGAAGCCACAGGGAGGCAGAAGTGGTTCGATGACTAAAGGGTTTTCTGTCATTTATACCCTTCCCCACCCATACCCTCCCAAGGTGAAGGGACCTTGTAGAGGCTGAATGGCCACCAGGCAGGAGCACCACAGGAGGGACCCAGTCCTAGGATGGAAGGCTGGGCTAGGTTCAGGAGGTTCTATTTAATTCTAGAATGTTGTGATTTATGAAAGTCTGGGAGTTGTTGCAAAAGTGAAAGCAAACAGGAAGAATGGTGAGAGTGTGGTGGGTAGGGATGTGTCTGGCTCATCCACAACTGTGTTCTGGATGGAAGTTAGTACATGGGTGGTCAGCAGTGCAGAGGGCAGACAGCAGGGACCTAGAACCTCACAGCTACCTACTCAAAGCCACATGGCCAGGACGATGCAGTGTGGAACTGAACTACAGTACCTGGCCAAGGTCCACTGTGTTGCCTTCCTACACTATCACCGCTCTCAAATACTCTGACAGCTTTGCTACATCATCATTAGAAGCAGCAGTGATTTGTGATTATCCTGCCCAGGTGTGGACACTGGACTCAAGGGACTGATGTGTAGCCAACAATCCACTGGGGAAGTTTCCTAGCTGGTTCTCTGAACCTGGGTTTGAAGTTCTGGAAACATCTACTGCTGAGTACTCTGGAAAGGTAATTAGTTTCTCAGAGCCTAGTTTCTTCTTTTGTGGTCATAGGATAAATAATAATGATTTCACAGGTAGGTGTGAAGTAAAATAATAGAAAGCAAAGTATGGGAAAGGTTTTTCATCCCAATTGCACAGGGATGTGAGCTGCCTGTGCGCTGGTGTTCTGAGGAAGTAACTCCGAAATGCTTAACAACTTACTGAGGGGATTGATGTCTTATCCCACCCACCACCTACTCAGTCACATAATTTTTGTTCACTTATTTCCAACAAGGAAGTCAAAGGAATTACATAAGCCTTTTTCACTCCAGTTGATCTAACAGGCAGCTTTTAAGGGAAGAAAGATTTCATCTATTAACTTTATTCTTAGAAGATACAATTAGGTATTCAAAAATGATCTGTGGGCAGGTTTATAAATCAGCTGTTACACCTGTTTCCTGAAAAAACACTTAAGATTTAGATACAAAATTGTCCTTTTCTAAGAAGCTAATGTCTCATTAGATCAAGGGCAAACACAACAAGGGGATTGGACTATGAGTGAGCACATGATAAAAGCAAGAGCACACAAGGAAGGGGTGAGGATAGGTAAGACACCTAAAAAACTAGCTAGCATTTGTTGCCCTTAATGCAGAGAAACTAAAGCAGATACCTTAAAGCAACTGAGGCCAATAGGAAAAGGGGAACAGGTACTAGAGAAAAGGTGAGATCAAAAGGAATTAACCTAGAAGGTAACACCCACGCACAGGAAATCAGTGTGAGTCAATGCCCTGTATAGCTATCCTTATCTCAACCAGCAAAAACCCTTGTTCCTTCCTATTACTGCTTATACTCTCTCTACAACAAAATTAGAGATAAGGGCAAAATAGTTTCTGCTGGTATTGAGGGGGGCGGAGCGGGAGGGGGCGGAGTGGGTGGTAAGGGAGGGGGTGGGGGCAGGGGGGAGAAATGAACCAAGCCTTGTATGCACATATGAATAATAAAAGAAAAATGAAAAAAAAAAAAAGAAGAAGGTGCATAGAAAAAAAAAAAAGCTAATGTCTCTTCAATTAGAACATTTTTCAAGATAAACAAATATTGACTTTTAAATGTGAAAGGAAATGTATTGGCTGTTTTTGTGTGGCCCTCACTGACACAGTGATGGGAGGAGAGGTTAGGGAACATGACAGGGTAGAGACAGGGGAGGGGCTGAACTTTACCAGGGGGTAGGTGATGATGAAGGCCACCCAGCCGACCAGCAAGAAGGTACTCAGGATGATGGTGGCCATGTCCTTGAGCATGGAGTCCACGGGGGCCTCTGGCTTGGCAGGAGCAGGAGCCAACTTTTCTTCCATATCCTGAGATAGAGTAATTGGAGCATTTTCCGAAGTCTGGTCAACCAGGTTGATAACCTTGAATGGGAAAGAGTTGCTATATCACTGCAAAATTTTTAGCCAGATACAGATGAGGTGAGTGATCAAGAGAGGTAACCTCTATTTACAACACAGGAGTATACTTGTAATGTGTTTTGGTTTTTTTTTTTTTTTGAGCTCAAAGGTCACATAGCCAAATAATTGTTGCCACTTTTGAACCAACTGCTCTGAAAGGCCATGAACATCTACAGTGACATTACGGTTGTCCAAAAACAGATTTTAGAGCAATACATTTGGAAATGCCTTCAGATCCTGATATTCTTTGGAAAACCCTCAATGAAGGCAAAAACTTTTTCCTTTGATGGTAGATTTCATAGCTGGGGAAACTATGAAATCATTTATAAAAAAAAAAAGTCTGGTGAAAAGCTGGTAGTCAGTTTGATAATACTGTGTCACATTGACAAGGAACGCTAGAGCCAGGCATGGTGGTTCATCCCTTTAATCCCAGCACATGAAAGGCTGAGGCAGGAGGATTGCAGTTTGAGGACAGCCTAAGCCACACAGTGAGAACCTGTCTCAAAGAAAAAGAGAGCTGCACATATGTGCAGGCATATAACTAATAAAGAAATTGCTTTGTTAAGTTGCTTGTAAACTTTTATTCAAGAATTCTGCTATTTTCCCAAAGTTTTTTGAAAAGCACCATAAGCCTTTGTTAAAGAAATTTTTATTAAGAAGCCCCAAATTAAATCAGATAAAAAAAATGGAGCTTCCATCCAAGCTCCTTAGAATCTAGGGACTTCTTGGAACAGTTTAGAATAACACATTGATCTGTTCTCAAACACCTGGTGTTCCAGGCATGTTGTTAAGTGTTTGCCCAAAAAAATTTACACACTGCCTCCCGGCTATATGCACAGATTCCCCAGGTGCTCGCATCATTTCATCACCCCAGATGTCAGCCTCCGGTGCACTTCTCTCCCTTTCCAGCTGTACCCCGAGTCCTTCCAGGCACCCCTTTCCTTTGCTCATGCCTCCCCACAGCAAACACAGGGGTGTGGCCTGCTTGGCATACAGCAGGCGACTGAGGAATGTTTGTGGAGCATGCGACTAGGGACAACACTCACTGGGACATATCTGCTCGTTTGATATCTTGTTACCATATAGATGTACCTCAGAATATTTTGATGGATTTTTAAAAGACCCTTTGCTCTAAATCAGATGGTTATATATGAAAATTTGAACCGTGGCTACGTCTGGATATTAGATTAAGGGTATTGTCTTAATCTAATAAGTTTCACTTTCTAAGTGCTCAATAATGAACGTGCATGACTTTGATAAGATCTTAGGACAATGCTGTTCAAGATTGCTGTTATAGGAATAAGTGTATTTCTTCAACCTGGCTATGTTCAGAGCTGATGGACAATAGACACTGTCCCCTGGGCTTTTAAAAGACCATGGTTTTCCTTTGCCTCTGGATAAAACCTAAGTCTCTCAAGTGACTCTGTTGTGATCACAGTCTCATCACAGCAGCTGCTCTCATTTTTCAGACCCTCCCCTAGCCTAGGTTCCTCCTCTTATCACCAGAACCCTCTTGGTGGGGTTGCCAGGCCTGAACAGCTCACTAAGGTTGTCCCTCTGCTGATCATGTGGGCTCTCCTCCCACAGCCCTGCTCTGTGTCCTAGAAGGCTGACCCATGTGGTCTCCTTGCCCTCTGGTTTGGGGCTGGGCGAAGCTAGCAGGGAGCATGAGCAGAGGAGTGGAGAAGGGGAATAGGCTGAGTGCTGTGTGGCTGCTGAATCCTCAATCAGAGCCCCTGAATCCTGTACTGGGCCCATTCTACAACCTCTCTGGCTTTAGGCCAAGGTACACTGAGTCCATTGGTACTGCCCACATCTCTGTGAACACTCCTGCTACTAAAGTCCCCTCAAATTGCCCTAATTTGGGCAGGCCATCTGTCTCAATTGAGACCCTGATTAGTCCCCCAACACCTGATAGGAAGAGCCAGAATCAGTTAGTTCTCTTCCCCACTCACTTCCTCAAAGTTCTTTTTCTCCAGATCAGCAGGAATCACATTTTCCCGGTGTTTGGGCAGATTGTTGGGAAATCTCTCCAGCATCTTGGTAGATGCAGACAGTGGGGTTTCATGGTGTCCTGAGAGGAAAAAATCTTTAATGAGAACAGTTTTCCAACCTGTGGTCACACCCAACACTACTTGGGCAACAGTTGCTACCCATGGAAAGGTCCTTTCTATAAGGAAACCCTTTACATCTATATAGTGAGAGAAAATGAGAGACAGTTACCAGAAAAATCCCATCGAAACAGTTATTTTATTACTTGATGGCAGAATGTAGTATTCTGAGTCTCATAATGAGAGCAAGGATATGTCTTGTCATGAGAGGGATCAGGATGTTTGTGATGAATTCCAAAGCAAAGCCTGTGTTGGCACATGTCCGACTCACAGGTGGAGCATTATGAGGCTTCTCTCAAAGTCCAAGGAATTCTCCTTCCATTGCTTTTTCTGGTAATATCACTTTACTAAGGCTATGAGTCCCTTCTGAGCTTTTCAGTTGGTCAGGGGGAGTTCTATTCCTCCTCCCAGCTACATATGAGCTTCCTTCTGAGGAAGTGGTGAATTACTGATAAGAGAGCCAGAAGAAATAGCTACTGGATGGCTGGCAGCAGGGGGGGTGGGGGGTGTGTGGAGAGGTGGGTATTCCAACTCTCTCATGTTCACTCATTGTTCTGTAAACAACTATTTCATGACTACCTGGTATTTATTGCACAGCAATTCAGCATTTACTGTGTGCAAATTGCCCATAAGACACACAAAGATGACTGAAATAAGGATTTTGGGGTCTCATATCATATATCTTGATAATCTGCTTAGTTCTAAAATTAAATCACTCCACACACAGCCTAAAAGAGACAGGTCACTTTCTTACTTGATGGTGCCAGCAGCCTGACAGGCTTTCCTTTTTCTCTCACTGGGATGGGCTCTTACCCTGATTCAGGTCTCTCTTGCCCTATATTCTTTCCACTGTTCTCCCAAACCCATCAGAGGCTGTAGGACATGTGTGCCAAGAGGAGAACTGACAGGAACAAGTTCAAGCTTGCATTTCCTAATCTGGGAAATCCCTCTTTAATCTGTCATCTGACCTCATTCTCTCTAGGTCAGTTCTCTACTTATAACACACCATCATTCTGTAAGGGAACCCTACCTAGTTTTCCCTTATCTACCAAGGAAAGCTGAGAGATGCTTTACATGACCCCCATGTGTGGCTGCCTCCTTCAGACTCCTAAGTCAGACTTGTCAGCAGGTCCAGGAATCTGAACATGGGTAACCACAGGTAATTGAGGCTTATTAATAAGAGACCCATAGCCAGGAGAAATGAGTTTGTCTTTCCACGTCATCCTGTGCTGCAGTGTCCTGCATGCCCTTTTCCCACCAGTCCTGCCTATCTGTAGGGCCTCTACCAAGAGATTGCTACAGAAGTCAAGTCACAACGATTCCTTTTTTTTTTTGGTGGGATTGAGGTTTGAACTTAGGGCTTCATGCTTGCAAAGCAGGCCCTCTACTGCTTGAGCAATATACCTCCCATCCATTTTGCTCTGGTTATTTTGGAGATGGGGGTCTCATGAACTATTTGCCTGGGCTGGCCTTGAACCCTGATCCTCCCAATTTGTCTCCCAAGTTGCTAGGATTACAAGTGTAAGCCACTGGCACCCAGCTCAGGACTCCTTCTTATAAACAGGCTTCTCCTAAAGCTGGACCTTTAGTAGTATCTTGCTGCACACTGAACTAAAGATTCTATAAACCTAACCAAGAGATCCCTAAACATTTTTATATAAACAGCACCTGGCCTTTGTGATTTATTATGTATCAGCATCAGTAGGTCTAGACTCCAGAGCAAAAAAAAAAACACGTGGCCAGGACCTCCTGCATCAGGCCCTCCAGGGATGGCATGTGCTTCTGGGACAAAGTAATGCTGAGAAAATCTAGGTCAGAGCCTCTTCTCAGGAGCAACCACACCCCATACTTCTTATGCAAATTGGACCCATTTCACCTCTAAGATGAATGTGGGATATCTTTAATGTTCCACAAAAACCAAATCAAAGGACATACTTGGACATAAAAAGGTGCTTCCTATGACCCTAGTTGACAAGGAGATTGTCACATACTTCCACTACCTTATTTAAAAATGACTGGGTATGGAGATCCTCAAAAGGAACCTCAGAATTGTGTGATCCTTACTTAACTACCTCTTTATATTTTGTTAGGTCTCCTAGTTTTCTTACTTGGACAACCTGCCTATTTTGAAGGGATCTCAGCCATTGAGATTTTCCTCGATATTTTTTGTATTCTCAAACACATTTCCTTAGTGTCACTTCTTAACCACTGGCAGGTACTTTATATGCCCTTAATTGGTACATAAAACTGAGTAACCTTGTAATTTTAATGGCCTTTGCTCAATTAGCTATTTTTTTTTTCTCAGCATGGGCCTGTCATGCATGCTTCCCAAACTTCTGTTAAAAAAAAAAAAAGAAAAAGAAAAAGTAGAACTCTTGTCATCTTTGTCTTTTATTAGGTAATAATAACAATCAAGATAAAAATGGCTATAAGGAATCTGAAGGAAAAAGAAAGGGCCTAGACAACCTGCAATGGTTGAGCCCCAGTTTCCTCTCTGCAGCTCCTGAGCGTACACTCTATCTAGACTACTGCCTGTAGGTCCTGCTGCTTCCTGGGTCCATGTTTTTCCAGTCATTTGCATCCCTGAGCCAGAGCTCTAGCCATGACCTGTCTACAGACACCAAAAGGATGGAGAAAAGAAACCTTGTCAGCTTCAGGGTGTTCTGCTACCCCTATCAACCTTTCATCCTGCTCTGCTGAGACTCATCCCCACTTCTTACCACCTCTCCAGCTGGGAAGCAGCAAATCTGTGTAGTTGGGATGGGACACAAGAAGGGTAGATCAGATTGAAGAAAACTCTATCCTGCTCTAATTACTTGGGACACTTGCTAGGCATACAGTATGCTCACTTCTTCATCTTTATTTGTCACACTCCTGCATGGGGTGTCATCTCAACCTCCTATCTCTCTGACAGAGCTTTCAATTCAACCTCAGGGCCATTAATTATAGCAACAATGGGAAGAGAAAGGAAAAAAGGGGCTAGGGTGTAGCTCACCCCTAGAGCTCTCAGTGGTAGAGCAAGTGTTTAGCATGCATGAGGCCCTTATTTCATCCTCAGCAGCAAAAAAAAAGAAAAAGAAAGAGAAAGACAGACCTCTCACACATACCACACACACATGGGACCTTCCTGCCCTGACCCAGGGGCAGCCTCTGATTTTTCGTGACTATAAATCCTCTGGGTCCCTCTCTTCTCTTGGCCCTCACCCACATTCATTTTCTATCCCAGTTATACAATGGAAATAACAAGGGTACCTATCTCACACCTCACACAAGGTCACTTCTGAATAAGGAATAGATATTCTTTTTTGTTTGTCTTTGGGAATTTTTCTTTTTTTTTGGCAGTGCTGGGGTTTGAAATCAGGACCTCATACTTGCTAGGCAAGTGCTCTACCACTTGAGCCAGTCTACCAGCCCAGGAACAGATATTCTTGTGTCAGATAATTACACAAGTTTACATAACTTAGTACTTAAACATTAAGTAAACAGCTTTTAATTTTTTTTAATTTTTTTTTAAGTAAACAGCTTTTAAGGACTATCCAATAACCTGGCTACCGTGTTTATTCTCCTTGGAAATAATAAACAACCCTTTTGAACTGGACAGTGCAAAATATATTCAGAATGAAGAGCAGTAAGCAAGCAGGGCTGGCTTCTGCCCACCAGGAGGCAGTACGCCACCACGTAAGGCTCTTACCTATGAGAAGCCAGTAATTCCTCAAGTAGTTCAGCTTGCTCTTCCCTTTGAGTCCAGGGTCAAATTTGAGGTCTGTGCTGGGTGTGATCACGCACTCCCCCTTGTCCCCAATGGTGACACCATCAGTCTGAGGGCCTTCCAGCAATGGAAGAGTGCTACCGCGGGGCTAAAGAGACAGGGTGCTTCATTAGCTCATGAGTCCTGATGAAGAGCAGGTTCCCTGGGTCCCACAGCACACCTCCCCAGCACTGCCCTGAACTCCGAAGGAACCGACATGCCTCGGGCTGAGCAGTTTCTACTGTGAGGTTCAGCAAAGTCAGAGCAAGACAGAAAGGCCCTCAGTCTGGGTAGGGGAAGCTCTTCCCTCAGGATGTTGCAGTGTTCCACTGACACCTTTTCACATTCTTATGTTTGGCTTCTGGGGACTAAGAAGGATGCATGTACTGAACTTCAAGGAGCTATTATGAGAGGAGGATCTAAGAACAATGAGTAGATACTACTAGTTACAACCAATGCAATTAACAGGGTGGAATAAACTCCAGTCATGTGCCCAGTGCTGACTCAAGCTACACTGGAGCTGCTGCCCTCTTGCTGGGGCAGCCAACCAATTCATTAGGAAGATGAGATATAAACAAATAGCCCAGACACTGGAAGGATCGGGATTAGCAGACAGAATCATAATACCTCAGACATTTAGAGACAGAGTGCTCAAGGCAGGCTGATGAGGCCCAAGGAGGCTGAAAGAGGTCACAAAGGATGGAAGGGATTTGAGTAGGGAAAAGGAAGAAGGGTGTTTGAAGTGTGAGGCCAGGCACAACAGTATCAGAAGAAAGATGAACAGAGAACTTTGGGGAATCAGGGAGAAGATGTACTTGCTGGACCATGCAACTCTCACAAAGAGATTAACAGAGTGGCACAAGGACATGGGGGACTGGCTTGAGGAGGCCTCTGTACCATTCAGGTCGTTTACTTCTGCAAACAAAAGCAACGGGATAATCAGGTCTTCCTGGCTGCTTCTGTCACATATCTTGTTTTCAAAGTAGAATATGGTTGTGCAAAAGCTGCTCTAGGGGCTTTCAGCTCTGTAATGCACTTTGTAACCAGGTCATTCTTTGCTAATAAGGAACAGAAGCAATTGGGAGGCTGAATCTGTGAGCCCCATGGAGGACTGACTCACCACGACCGCGACTCCCTCATGTACCATGGACGGGGAAGCGTACAGACTGGTGGAGTACTTCCCAACATACAGGGTGGGCCTGAGAGAAAACAGAAATGAGTTCCAAAGTCATTTCATGTATGCACCCCACAAAACAGGGCTTCTGGGAAGGCAGAATCACAGCCTCCAAACACTGCCCTCAGGCATGGAGCCTCATTAGTCCCAGGAATAGAGAAAAGCAGCAGGGGTATGTGAGGTGGGGGACACTGCCGGGAACATGACAGTGGGACTTCCCTTGCTGCCTACAGAAATACGATAAGCCGTCTAACTGCAAGCCTTAGTTTCCTCATCAGCAAAATACCAGGGCCAGACTAGACCAGGCCCAGGACAGCCTGAAGAAAGTACAGTATCAATGACCAGCCAAGAGACTGAGCGCTGAGCACCCCTGCCAAAGCTTGTCAGATGACTCTGGCCAACACCTGCTGGGGTGTGGACGATCCCCAGCAGCAGCACTGCTGCTACCCGCAATGCCTTGTGCTTTTCAAGGCTTTGCAAAGGTCCTTGGAGGTGCTGCAGAGTCCCCAAGGAGCAGTCAACTGCTCTATGCTAAGAGCAAAATGAATGCTTAAGAAATTCCAAACTGAGCCGGGTGCCAGTAGCTCACGCCTGTAATCCTAGCTACTCAGCTGGCTCGAAGCCAGCCTGGGAAAATAGTTTGAGAAACCCTATTTTGAAAAAAACCCATCACGAAAAAAGACTGGTGGAGTGGGCCCTGAGTTCAAGCCCCAGTATGGCAAAAAAAGAAAAAAAAAAAATTCCTAACTGGGTGAGGTTTTTACTGCCCTAGGTGGTCTGCCCCTATCTGGAACATTTGCACCCTACTGCCCCAAGTTCCCCGACACATCAGCTTGCTCTTGGGTCATGTTGGCTGTGACGTCACTGTGAAAACAGTGGGGCTGAATCTCCACACCCTCTACTTACTACTGCCAATAGCTCTGATGGGGCCAGTCATCTACTAAATTATACAAACTTCTCTCAACGAACACCTTCAATTTGAGTGGTGTTTTACTTTAGACAATACTTTCATGCATCATTTTATTTGATTTTCCCCACAATTCTCTAAAATAGGAAATTAAACTTGGCAGAGTTAAGTGACTTAGTGACAGGTTGTAAGCAGATGGGGACAGAGAATACAAGTCTGCTGAGTCTTGGACATATATGCTGTAAACATTTTTTTCTTATTTTTAAAATGAACATAACATAATAAAAATTTAGAAAATACATTAAGATTGAGCGAGGCATATAGCTCAGAGGTAGAATGCTTGCCTGCACAAGACCCTGGGTTTGATTCCCAGTAGCAAAAACAAACAACAAAAAGAAAATACATAGAGTTAAAAAAAAAAACCTCTTATTTTTACAACAGATATATGCAAATTGTACTATAGTTATACTGACAGCCTTATCCCCACCCATAATTTTTATTTAATATTCAAGAACTCTGAAGCAACAAGGAATACTCCCTGGTTATTATAGTCTGGGGTTTCCAAATGAACTAGTCTTGGTTCTTGATTTTCCTTACAGTCTTAGAGATGTGTGCTCCACACTCTGACCTCCTCCAGTGTAAGGTATGGTATGCTGCAGCAGTACCAGAATGCGAGGTTTTCCAAGCACAAAGCCCTAAATTCAAACCCAAGTCCTACTAAAACCAAAACCAAAACCTCTAGAATGCCAGCATCACAGCTGCCCCTTGCTGCCCCCAACTACCTTGAATTCCCCAACTCACGTCAGCTTGCTCTTGGCCTCTGTCTCCTTGGGGAATGGGTACTTCCACTTGGTGATGCGCCCCACCTCGCCAGACATGAAGGTCAAGTAGCGCAGTGTTTCCACAGCGACATTGATGTGCATCACCTTCCTCAGGCCCTCCCGATGCCAGACATAGAAGGCTACCACTGGAGAGGCATAGTTTTGGATCCACAAGACATCCCCAGATTCACTGTCCACAGTTACCACCAGTCCATCGCCATTGGACACAAAGTGGGACATCTCTGTAAAGATCAAACAACAAAGCACATCGAGCCTCACCCCATCCTGCAACCACATCCTCTACTCTCTTGGCAACTACATCACTCAACTAAAGAAAACAACACTTTTGAAATATTCTCAGACTTCCTCAGAACAACTCACTGGTTTCCAATGAGCTTGTTCAGGCTTCTCAATATCAAGACCCTGAGAGCTGCATGGGATATAAACATAAGATAGAATCCTTCTTCCACAGGCAATTTCCTTGCTGATGCTCTTTACCATTCTATTCAAAAAGTAAGAGTAAATATTGAAGGGAAAGGAGCCAATAGAGATATCTATCACTCTGCTGTTTTATAGCAATCATTTAAAATCTATGGATTGGACTGGTCAGTGGTTCAAGTGGTAAAGCACCTGCCTAGCAAGCTTGTGGTCCTGAGTTCAAATCCCAGTGCCACACACACAAAAAAAGAACCTATGGATTAGGCCAGGAATAGTGATTCATGCCTATAATTCCAGCACTTAGGGGGCCGAGACAGGAGGGTCACAAGTTTAAGTCCAGCCTGGGCTACATAATGAGACCCTGTCTCAAAAAACAAAACAAAAAAACCCTTATGGACCAGGTTGAAAGTCAGACCTGAGTGCATGTGATTCACCAAGGAGTGCTCAAAGACAGACAAAAATATTCTAGGTCCTGAACCAGAAAAGGGAGAGTCAGATACCAATGTTAAGATGACACAACTGGGTTTCTCAGTTATCATTTGAGTTGGGGGGAATAAATAACTAGAGAATAAGCCACATTTAGAGTAGCTTTCTTGATGGGGCCACTGATGTCACATGTTGGTTTTTAATTTTACTGTCCACGGGCTTGTAGTAAATTTCTTCTGTGACACAGTCTCAACAGACATGGTCTCCTTCCTCCCTGGTTAACCCAGAAGTTGGCTCCCCCAGACTTATCACCCAGGCTTATGCCACATGACTGTGGGGAGTACTTACTACAAGCTCATGCAAAGTCCAGCACCTCATCAGGTTGTCTTAAAAGAAAATCCTGCTCTTTAGAGCAATCATTTCTCATAGAGGGAAGGTGCTAGGCCAACCTCATGAGCTCCCCCCACCCGCCCAGCCGTGCTTACTGTAGTTTACATCATCTTCGGGCAGTGAGGCTGCATAGTCAAAGTAGGTGGCGTTCCAGCGGAGCTCACGGGTTTTGGTGTCATACATGGTGATGGTGTATTCTAGAGGACACAGACCAGCCCATTACCACAGGGGCTGTGGTACCTACTGAGGTATTGACCTTATCTAGTTACAACAAACAGATAATCCCTAAAATGCATGCTTAAAAGTCCAGGTTATCTGATATGTGGAAAGAGAATGGCCAGGTGGAAAACTAAGTCCCAGACACAAGAGTGAAACTGGTCAACAGCATGTGAAGCAACCAAGTCACTCTTACTATGCACTGGAATTCATAGCTCATGGGTAGTTGATATTAGAAATTGGTACCTAGAAGTGGGATGGTGCCACAACAATAGCTTACAACAAGTAGCACTGACTTTGGGACCAGATGGAAGGTGGAGGCTGGAAGTTTGACAAGAGGACTATTAGTAGAAGCTTGAAAGAGCAGTGAGGAAACTGCTTTTGGAAGCTGAAAAGGGGTGACACAGATCATGAACTTATATAGTAAGTGACATAAATGGTAAAGGCTATTGCTTGCAGTAAACTGGAAGACAAAAAAAAGTGCTTAATGAACTCAGGGATCTGAGTAAGATTTCCAGGCAGAAGATGGAAACAGTTTCTCTTAGCTGTGTATAGTATACTGCAAGATGATGAGCTAAAGAAGAAATCATTCAACTTTCAAGGAATACAGAAAATACAGAAGGTCCATCACTAATTCTCCACCTGGAAGAGGTTCTCAACGAAAATAATAGTCTTAGGACAAAGATCAAATTCAGAGCACACACACACACACAAAAAGCCTCAAGTTAGGGTCAAGATCAAATCCAGAATGAATGTGAATGAGAAAGAATTTTTATTATAAAAATTTTTTATTTGAATATATTTGTTTGGGGGGGATTCATAGTGACAATTCTGGTTAGGCTTATATTGTATATTGGTTAGATCACCCCTATCCTCTCTCTTCCTCAACACCCTCCCCGCCCCACTTGAAGCAATTGCAAGAGGCTTCTTTGTTCTATTTCATATAAGTATATGAAGTCCATCAGCCATAGACCCTCATCTTAATCTCCTTCATTTACCCTCCCCCTTAGAAAGGTTTAAAATGGTACCCATAGACCTTATGCTAGGTAAGAAGAGTTCTTAAGAGTTGTATAGATTTGCAGGAGTAATATTGGCATGGGTTAATCAGAAATGGTTAAAATGGGGGGAAAAAAAGGCTTCTAGACCACCCACTTTCAATGAATAAGGAAAAGACTGACAAATCTACAAACCTAGCCATTTCTTATGGAAAAGAAAGGATTTCTCAGAGGACTGAACCAAGATCCAATGAGAACAATATGTAAGGGAACTAACCTCAGAGGGTAAAACTGAGTGCCAATCAAGGAATATTTCCTGCCTCCAGAGTAGGGGAACCTGAAAATATGTGCCTGGATGAATTTCAGATTACTGAGGACCAGTGTCTGCTATGTGCCTTTCCTTTTTACTAGTAATTTTGTCCATGTGTGCCAGGGATGAAACCCAGGGCACTGTGCATGCTAGGCAAGTACTCTACCTAGGTCCCTTTTCTTTCCCCTTTAGAATAGGAATGTTTATTATCTTCTTTCACCATTATATGTCAGGTGGAAAGGAGGGGAACATGGGGGAGAAAGAACTTGTCTATAATTCCCAGGTCTCCAGGTCAGAGGAGCCTCATCTATTTCCAAGCCTGATGCAGATTCAGAGACACTGGATTTTGAGACTAATGCTATACTCTGGGAATCTTGGGAGAGGGCAAGTACATTTTGTATGTGGAAGGGTTGTAAACTTCTGTAGCCAGAGGAAGGACTGTCTGAAAAGGTTACCACCATCAATCCTTCCCTGTGTGGGAAGCCACTCTTTTCATCAAGAGGCTGAATCTGTTTCTCTACCCTTGGCTCTGGGCTGGCCTCATGACTTGCTTTGACTAATAGACTATAGCAGAAATAAGTTCTGGGACTTCTGAGCTTAGACCTTATAAAGCATTCTAACATCCACTTTTACTCAAGAGGAACCCATGTGAAGAACTGCAGGCTATTTGTGTGGAGAAAGGTCACATGGAACTGAACCAAGGTCCCAGACATGAGTGATCTGACCTTGTTGAGCCCTTCTTGAATTCCTCACCCACAGAATCAGGAACAATAAAATAGCTATTATTTTAAGGCACTAAGTTAGGTGTTTGTTATGCAGCAATAGATAATGCAAATGGTAGCTGTATACATACATGTGCACACATTCCACTTAACACCGCAGCATATCCAAACACTCTCGAATTCCCTAATTCTACCTGAGAACCACACACATTTTATACATAGGTGAAGCTGAAACCATGATAAGGCTTTGCTTATGAAAAAGGTAAACAAATCCTAAGCAGTCCCAAACATTTAGATTATCTGACTTTCATAAAGAGAAAGTGGATAATCCTGTAGTCTAAGACCTTCCCCCTAGTGACAGAAGAGACCAGACTCTCCAGGGCCCAAGACCAGTTTCACTGATTTAGAAGACAAGCACTGTTTTCCACAGCACCTGAAAGAAGGCTATGGCTCTCTTTTCTGAAAGCCTTGGCTTCCTGAATGTTTAGACCTAAATGTAGTACTCAATGGTAATGAGTTCATCCTAGATTTTTAAAGAATTTAATAACCAGTTTTATAGATTTAAAAATTTTATTGATACATAATAATTGTACATGTTTATGGGATCCTATGTTTTTGGTATAATTTCTTCCTTCTGAATTTTTTTTTTTGCTTCTTCTTTTACTTTTAACTATTATTTAACTATTTTTATGGTGGCTCTGATATGTGAGGTGCTGCACATGTTCAAATGAGTAAGGCAGATCCCGCAATAACAGGGCTCACCCACTGACTCATTTAAACATCTAAGTATCAGGGAATATGTCCGGTGTAAAGATACAGCTGGTGATCAAAACAAAGTCCTGCCCTAGAGGAACTGATAGTCTAGTGGGGGAGGAAAAAATAGGTACATAAAACTTATAAATATGTAGTGACAAGTGTTAAGAAGAAGGTGGCTGAAAAGAGAGGAAATAAAAGATGACATGATGAAGAGGGTGCTATTCATGCCTATAAAGGGACAATGACAGATGATGAGAAGACTCCTACTACACACCTATTAACTACTACATATGTCCCAGAATAGAAGAGATGACCTGAGTGTCCCTGGGCAGGGTGAGAACTTTTAGACCAGGGAAGAAGGGGACTTCTGAGTAGAGCTGTGGAAGAAGAGAGGACATTTTCCAGAAAGGCAAAACCAGGCATACCTGGTGGAGATAGATACCAGACTATGAGTACTTAAAGATAGCATTGCTTTTCTCAGAACTACAAGTAGTCCACCCAACTGGAAAAATGTTTAAATGAGGGAATGCAGCAGGGAGGAATGAGATGAGAGAGGTGGCAGCTGCACAGCGGAGGCTCTATCGGTCATGGTGCAGTTTGAACTGCATCCCTTGGGCATTGAGGTCACTGAAGGGTCTTAAAGAGGGTAAAAATCTGCCTATTTGGAGAGGGCAGCTCTGGCCACCTTCTAGAGAACAACGCCCACAGAAGGGGCCAGTGGGAGAGCTTCATCAGATCCATTCTGGAAACAGGCAGGTTATACATGACAATGGTTCATTCTTACCTGTCCGACCGAGATACAGAAGAGAAGTTGATGGGCAGAGACTATCTGCAAAGGCTGATGATAAAGTCTGCTGTTTCTCACCAGTCAGGAGGTCGATGACATACCAAATGTCCTGCTTTTTACCTGAAAGGTTACAGGACATGCTGTTGTTAGCACCTATCCTATATGGGAAAAAATATCACTGCCAAAGTAACAGTTCTAACTGTTTAAGATGAATGTTCACTGTGCTGGGAGACAGGTCTGAAATCCCTATGATGTTGAAGACATCTCTATGATGCTCTGAAGGTGACAAAGTCAATGAAATGTGTATATAATAACTTCTTGGGCCACTGGGTCTTATGGTAATTTAGTAACCTAATCATGGTATGAAAATTTCTCCAAATCTAATAACCTAATTACAGTAAAAAAAAAAAAAGTTCTCCTAACTTTCAAGTTATACTTTATTACTTTGATTAGTAGCCTTAAATCTGAAAAGTCTTGACTGCAAAGAATAATTCTTTTCCCACAGATTTGGATCTGTATAAATACAGAAATGTACACAGGGGTTCATTTCTCTGGCAACCATAATTCCCATTTCTGAACATCCCTACCAATTAGCCTGCATGTGAAGAGATTCATAACTATAATTAGCTAGTACCTGTGACTGGACATCAGAGTTGGTTGTAACCAGATGCTAATGAGGCCAAAGTCATCTCATCCTCTGTCCTCAGCCAGTTAAGTTATTCCCAGGCCACAGAACATATCCCTTGCCTCAGACAACTCCATTGAACAGGCTGACCAGCACAGCCACACAACACTCTTAGGAAAACCCACAGCACATGTATCTATCGTATGGACATAGGGAATGGTGAGGCTGAAGCATGAACCTCTGATCTGAAAGCCAACAGGCACCATAATGTGTGCGTTTCTGTTTTGTCAGCTATGACATCGCTCGCTGATATCTTCCCAACTGATGAGAAAAGCATCCTACCTCCAAGGACTCCTGGAAGCATAAGACTGAGATGCTGAGGAAGGTCACAGGGCCCTAATTTGCTGAAGCTAGCTTAGTTTTAGGCGTAGCATACATGGGCTCCATACATGGGCTCCATACATGTGCAGAATTTGCCTGCGGATCTTAACTCTGTTCTCAATGTTAAGGTTTCATGGATTTTTTTTTTTTTTGGCAGTTCTTGGGATTGAACCCAAGGCCTCATGTATATTAGGCAAATGCTCTACCACTGAGCTTTACCCCAACCCTCAATAGTAAGATCTTAATATGAAAAAGATCTAAAGCTAGAGTAAAGATGTCAGCAAACAGCTATGACCATGGATCCCTTCCATCTGGCTAGTTCAAGAACCTGCAAAATTCAGCTACAATGTCAATGGATGGATTGAGCAACTAACCTGCTTTTAAATATGCTTAATAAACTCACTTAAGAGGGCACCACACAAAGATGATGAAAACACAACATCTTAAGTAGACCGCAAGTGATGGATTGCTGGCAAAAGCCAGTGACATAGTGGTCAGAAGATGGTCAGATGGGCCAGGAGTCATGGCCCAGAGGACAGCCTTATTGTCACTTCCTTTGAATCCCTAGACTGGGGGTTCATCATTCTGAAGGAGTGGAAGGAAACAAAAGCCCCAGTGTCGCTAGCAAAAACTTAAAAGTTGGCATGCATTTGAGGTTCCCAAGCACGAATAGGCAATAAGCAATTTCAGTTCCTCAAAAATAAAGCTGCTATATAAATAAAGCTGCTATTATTGCTGCTAGGATTTCAAGATAAGTACAGCTCTCCTTTGTGTTACAAATGCAGTTTTATTGACATTTTGGCATTAATGCAGTGAAGAAAAGCAGGTGAACTGATGCTTTGAAAGCTGTGCCCCCATAGGTATGAGGGAGCTTATTTAGGCAAGCTGTTAAGTGCTGTTTCTATCAAATATTCTCTTAGCAGGAAATACTAAGAAAGCCCTATAATTAATAGGCAGGGCTTGCTTCCCTTCCTTGGCACAGACTATTGTATTCACTCTAAATTTCATCCATTTGCAGGTATATTGCAATCTTGAAATCCCAGGAGTAGGGCAACCCAGCAGCTAAAAGCTTATTAAATAAGTAACCATACTAATGGTATCAATTTTTCTTCCAGGTGTGTGTTGCGGTGGGGGGAAAGGGGGAGTCCTTTCTTAATTTGTCAGCAAGAAAGGCCTTTCCCAGAAGGACTGGCAAAAGAGGTAATAGCTGCTGGCTTGATTGCTGGAGCTCTCACTCTCTTTCCTCCCCTCCTTCTTTTTCCCCCTCCCTCCCTCCATTCCTTGCTCCCTCTCTGTCTCCCCCCTACCCCAAACAAACAAACAAATGAAAACCAACTTTCCCAGATTTCAGGGCTTACTGTTAAAGAGACCCAAGTTTGGAAAACAGTAACCCTTACCCATGTAGAGGATTCCATCTGAACTTCGGCATGGGGATGCCTGTACCAGTTCCGGAATAGTAAAGGGAAGTTTCTTTAAAAATAAATAAATAAATAAATAAATAAAAGGAAAAAATAAGTTAACCAACTCTTGTGAAATTATTACACTCTGCTTCTGCTACCCAGTTCTGCTAAAAAGACAGAAGTGCTTCCAGATGGGAGTTTTCCCAACTGGAACCCAGGGAGAAGGGGTGCCCTGGGTTTCACGTCCACTTCCAACAGGCCGCTGTGCTTTATAAACACTAACTCCTTTCCTTAACACTGGAAGCAGAGGTCCTCCAGGTCTCCAGGGCACTTTCCAGGGGCAAAACAAACATTTCTAGAAGGACTCAAATATGGAGGATTACAGAGTCTTGGAAATTCCAAGGGTGGGAGAAAGGAGTCTTCTGTCTTAGAAAATTGATCCAGAAATGGCCAGATTAGGTAGAATGACTATGCTTTTTAGAGTGAGAGGGAGTCATGACATTATGCTAAAGAGAAGCAATTTTGGAATCAAACTTCGAGGGAAGGAGAAGGCATTGGTACAAGGGCAACACAAGGGTCTGAGGTGGAATAAGTAGTTGTTTTTTTTTTTTTCTTCAGTAAGTAATTCTCTATTGAAAAACAGAAGATCAAGCCCTTTGGTTACAAAAAGGAAGTTATGGTAGGTGCCAGGAAAAGAAACTCAAAGGAATCCAAATGTTTCAATGCATTTCATCATAAAACTGACTGTTCTGAGTCTACAGCTGACATCTGACAAGTCCTTTTGGTCACTGCTGGTTTCAGAGTATTTTATTTTTAGAACATTTTGTGTTCCTGAAACTATTCTGCAGATACCTGCTGTTACAGAAGAAACTCCCGGCTTCTATTACTACACTGTCACCTTTTTTCTCCAAGAAAGAAAAAATTTCTCTATAGCTTAAGCAGAACTATAAATACAAATAAACAATTTGGATTTCCCCATCATCCCAACATTCAAACTGAGACTTAGAAAAGGAAAAATGCTATCACAGGCAGTAATGACTGGTTTTTGTCAGAGGTTTCTGAGAATCAGAAGATCCTTCAGTCTGGTGTCCTATGGAGGGCCAGGCACCTCCAAAGCTCTCCAACTTCGAGGTCCAGCTGGAAAATGCACTGTCTCTGAAGCCAGTAAACCACAGTAGTACCAAATCCAACTCTGGAAGCTTCAGCCTTGGGTACATTCCTTGTCTAGGCTCAGTTTCCACATCTCTAAAATGGGCACAATGCCTATGGGCTGCTGAAAGGCTCAAATGAGGTAACTTACACAAATCACCCATCACTATTTTTGGCAAATACAGTGCTTAAGAAAGGGAGGCCACAGTGATTAGAGAGAAATGTGGAAGGTGAACTACATGCAGCTCACACAGGCTTGCCCTTCTCCCATCTGTTTCAGTTCCAGGTATTTAAAATAGTCAATGAGAACCTACAATACACTTAAGAGTTCAGAACAGTAGTTCTCATCCTTGGCTATACTTGAGAATCACATGGAGACTTTGTAAACTTCCCACTGAAGCATAATATACAAACAGGAAAGCACTTGTAATCACACAGGTCCATAATTTTCAAAGTGAATGTACCTGTATCACCAGCATCCAAATGAAGAGAGACATTTCCAGCTCTCTGGAAGCCCCCTCTTGTGCCCTTTTCCAGCCATTAACTCTCCAGGGTAACTATTATCCTAACTTTAAAACAGCATAGACTAGTTTTTCCTGTTTTTGACCTTCATATAAATGAACCATTCAGCGTGTAGCCTTTTTTTGCTTTGTCATGTTTTGCTTGATGTTACATTTGAGAGACAGATCCATGCTGTGTATAGACGTAGACTATTCTCAGTGCTAACAGTACTCTACTACACGACTACTCCATAACTTATCATTCTACCGTTAGTATTATTTGGCTGGTTTCTACTTGTTGCTTATTATCAACAGTGCTGAGTACATTTGAGTATATGCCTTTTGAGAGAACATACACATGAACTTCTCTGGGATACATATCCAGGGAGGGCATTACTTGGGTTGTAGGGATTTTAGCATATGGTGCCAAACGGTTTTTCAAACCAGTTATACCACCTTGTACCTCAGCCAGCAGTGGATGAGAGTGCTGCTTGCTCCTTGTCCTCACTAACACATTTCCTCTTTTGTTCTCAGATCTTCTGGTGAGCAGTTGGATGTACACTGGGTAGTCATATGGCACTGTGATTTTAACTTGCATTTCTCTAATAACTAAGGCTGAGCACCTTTTCATATATTTATTCACTATATGAATACCTTCTTCTCCCTTACTACTGGGTTGTCTGTCATTTTGTAAATGATCCACAAGAGTTCTTTATACATTCTGAATATGAATCCTTTATTGGATATGTGGACTACAAATACTTTGCAGTCTCCTCTTTTCAGGAAGAAAAGTTCTTTATTTCAATATCACCACTGTATCTTTTTGGTTTTTTGCCAAAATTTATGGTTGGTGTATTTTTAAAAATATATACCCTATTAAAGAAATTTTTTCCTACTTTAAGGCCATGAAGCTGTTCCACTACTTTTTTCTTAAAGCTTTATTATTTTGACTTCACATTTAGATATGCAGTCTGTCTAGAACAGATTTTTATGTGAATAGTGGGGGGTAGGAGTCAAGATATCTTTTTCTACATTGATAGCCCAACTGATCCATACCATAATGGAAAAAACTATCTTTCCCCACTCTACTGAAGTGTCACCTTTAACATAAATGAGATGATCATTTGTATGGGTCTATTTCTAAATTCTCTTATCTGGGGAATGTGCTTTAAAAATCTGGATGAGGCTGGGAATGTACACCAATGGTAGAGCGCAGGCACTGGGTTCAAGACCCACCACCACAAAAACAATGAAAACAATCCTGATGACTTGGATGAATTAAATCAGGATGTTCTGGAACTGAAATTTAGGCTCTGTTTTTTAAAGAGTTCATTCACCAGGTTATTACAATGTGCAGCAAAGGTTGAAAATCACTGGTTTAGATTCTCAAATGGAGATAGAGGTGGAATACCATATGCCTCCCCTAAAGAGGCATCTGACAGAGGAGTTGTAGAGACTGTTTCAAACTATACTCTTTCCTCTCAAGTTGAGAGTCTCCAGCTACAGGGAGCCTTCTATCCTTCTAATGTGTTGACTGAGCCGTCAATACCTGCTGGTCTGGGTCCATGATTCTGAACTTGCGTCACAGTTAAAATCGCATTTAGGAAGCTATGAAAAGGCACCAATGCGCAGGCACCACTCCAAACCTGAATCAGAATCCCCAGAACTTTGTTTAAGCTTGCAGGTGATCTCACAACATGCAGACACGGTTAAGGACATAGTTAAGATCCCTTCAGGGCTAGAGACATAGCTCAACTGGTAGAGCAACTGCCTAGTGAGCACAAGGCCCAGTTCAAACCTTAGTACCACAAAAAACAAACAAACAAAAAATCCAGAGTACACAAAGCAGCTAAACATTCTCACCGTAAGGCCTTCATTGTTCTTGCCTCCAAGTGTATACAGACTGCCATCATTGGGGTCCGGGAGGAATGCAGGCCTAGAGATTAAATAAGTATTAATGATAAATTATAGCCTAGAGCACCATACAAAGCCATGATGCAGAGTAAGTGGAGAAGGAGGGGTGTGTGTGTATGTGAACAAAATTCTACCCACTGCTCTCTCTCACTTCAGCTACAGGTAAATAAAATACCCTTATGATAGTGTGTACTCTGTTTGCCTGGAGAAAAGCAACCTGCAAAGTAAAAATCATATGAAATCACAGAAGAGTAAACTATCATTCGAACAAGGTACTATGGATAAAGATAAAACAAATGAAAAGGATCTAGAAAGTCAATTCCATGTCAATTGTGCACAGAACTTTCAACATTATTGCATTAACATGTATATAATAGTACATAAATTGGGCCAAATCTACCTATAGTCTTCAACAGCATTTGTTTTTAAAAGGGAGGTAACAAAAGCAAACGAAGGTTGACATCAAAGAGCCTACCAAAGTCTCTGTCAGCAGCTTTCTGCAAAGTAGATGGGAGGTGGCTTTCTATAAATTTAATCTGCTAAAGACTGAAACTCTAACTAAGTTACTGAGGAACCCCTTCCTCAATCTCTTCTCAACTTAAGATGTATCATCATCTGAGGCTGTTACAGGAGACATCAGACTTTTCCTCTGACACATATACTTTACAAGCAGGTCATATTCATCTTTCTTCTCCATAGTATGACACAGCAAATAGGGAGAGAGCCAGACTTTGGGAGTTTAAGTTCAAAACTTAAGTCCCATCTCAAACCTTTTTAATACCATTGTTCTTCTTCCTCTAGGAATGGACCACCCCTTCTCTGATATAGCATCACACCACCTGTAAATTTCCATATGCCTCACAAGTTCTTAAACTTGTGCATGTATGTGCTCCAAACAACTAGCCTCATAAATGTTGACTGAATGAATAAGACAATGAATTAAAAGGAAGTACCAAACTAATCAGAAAACTTACTCTTCCACGTGTGTTGGTACCTGCAGGACTGGATCTGTGCAAAAGAACAACAAAAGCATAATGAGACAGGCTGTGAAATATCAAGGGTCCCAGATGCTACCTGGGACATCATAAATATGACAATGGAGGCTGACCTGCATGAGATAATGTATGTGAGGGCACTTTAGAACATACACAAAGACACAAATGCAAGCTCTTATGACTATCACTGAGATTGGATAGAGAACTGAGACCAGATGGAATTGCTGTCAAGAAACCTGCAAAAGGGCTGGAGATGTGGTTCAAGTAGTAGGGTACTTACCTAGCAAGCACAAGGCCCTGAGTTCAAACCCCAGTACTATCAGAAAGGGGAGGGAGGGATAGAAAGAAGGATGGAAGGAAGGAAGAAGGAAGGAAGGAAGAAAAAGGAAGGGTGGGCTGGTTCATATAACTTGGCAGATGGTCATACAAGGAAGTCATGAGCCACAGTGGACAAGGGGTGATAGTATTACTATCTGGCACATCAAAGACTTCTAAAACCCAAATCATTACATTGTTGTCAGATACCAGAGTACTAGATACTCCCATTAGTAAATGCCAAACTGTGGCTTAAGAACTGCTTGATTGGATAATGGATTCATGTCTTTGGTGCAGCCAAGAGTTGATTCCTTTTGATCCATTAATTGCATATTTCTATAAAATCTAGCTTAAAATAACATAAAATATATTAAGACTTTTTTGTGCAGATAGGCTTACAATAGCATTACAAATAATGCAATTATTCTCTAAACTGGCTAAATTGTAAAATGGCTTCTTGGCAGAAAATGAAGGCTTCTTAAAAATATTAACAAAATTTTAAAACATGTACAAGTCTTTATGCTATTATATTCAAGAGAAAAGCACACTATACATGAGAGTATTAATGCAACTATGAGGAAAACCTTCAATGCACATAGAGAAAAAACGATGTGGAAAGACCAAAATACCTAATAATAAGTTACCTTTTTTGGATATAAGCAATTCCTTTCACCTTTTCTGTACTTTTCAAAATTTCTACAAGAGGAGGCATTACTTTTTAAACTGGGAAAAGGTTTTTTCTCTAAGTCAATTTCATGTTTGCAATAGTAAAAATGGCCAAATTTCTCCTCCTTAGGTTTCTCCTCCCTAGGTTCTCCTTCCAAGAGAAGACTCCTGATGAGCTGAAGTGGATAGAGTGGAGATGAGAGGACCAGAGCAGCAGCACTGTGCTTGAAACAGATCGGAAATCCTCAGGCAAGAGACTACATAGTGAGGAGGTACTGCCAGCAAGTAAAACCCCACAGCTGCCAGGCCCAGTGGTTCACCGAGGTGGGGATCAGGAGGATCACAGTTCCAGTTCCAGGCCAGCCCAGGCAAAAAAGTTATCCAGACTCCATCTTGACCAAAAAGCTGGACATGGTGGTGCATGCCTGTCACCCCACCTATTCGGGAGGCCATAGGTAGGAGGATTGAGTCCCAGAGAAGAATGGGAGACCCTCTCTGAAAAACTACTTAAGCTAAAAAGAAGTGGTATGGGAGCATGGCTCAAGTGGTAGAGCACCTGCCTAGCAAGCCCATGGCTCTAAGTTCAAATTCCAACCACAAAACAAGCAAACAAAAAGCCAGGGCTGTACACAACTTAGGACAGCAAACATTCTTATGGGATTCTGTATGCAGAGTTCCAGACTCTAGGGACTCTCTTATGGTGGCATAGCAGTCCAACCCTCCTATCACTTAGGATTCTCAGATGAAGGAAAATCTTTCAAGCCTTATTATATGCTTTAAAAGCACAGCTCCACACAAAAGCTCTTGGTGTTCACAACAGAAGTCCACACACCATATGTGGTTTGTGGGCAGCGAACAAACAATTCACTAAACCAAAACACTTTAGGAAACAGGATGAACTTTCGGTCACTAAGCATATGTTTATCTTTCCCATTAATCACCTCTCAGTACATGCTTGCAAACAGACTGATGCAAGAGACAGGAAATAAAGGCTCACAACACTCACCCATCTGAAACAAACCAGTCAAGGTGCAACTAACTCAGCCCCAAAGCCATGTAAGCCAGGAAAAATAAGAATGTCATATTCCAAAGAAAAAAGGTATCTTTTTATTCACTGAATGGTACCACAGATACATTCAGAGAAAGAGGACAATGCCAGAGTCTAGCAGCCCAGCCGAAACAGGACATGGAGGCTGACACAACCTGAATTCCTGTTCATAACTCATCTGTGCTCTACAGTGTTTGCTCAGTCTCACAGACTTATCTTCAGCTGCACATTTTCCTGATTTTCTATAGCTTATCCACTGGTTACCTGGTTCTGAGGCCTCAGGTTCCAAGATGATGTAGCCTGTATCATAAAATATACAATGTCACCGTGAAACAAGATTCCTGGGCCAAATACATCAGTGTGTAAAAATCATGCTTGTCTTCTAGTCTTAGGAAGAATGGGGAGAGATACCAGTATAACAGGGTACCTGGACAAGCTTCCCCAAAGGCGTGCTAAAAATCCAGTTACTAGGGTAGCTCTGACAGAGGCAAGCAAACTGCTGTTTGGTTTCTGAGGTGTAACAATGACCTACTTTATAAATACTTCTTTTTTTTTTTTTTTAGCAGTACTGGGGTTTGAACTCAGAGCATTCTACAGCTTGAGCCACGATCTGAGCCTTTTCTTTTTTTTTGCTTTAGTTATTTTTCAGATAGGATTTTGTGGGGTTTTTGCCTGGAGCCAGCCTCAGATACTGATCCTCCTACCTAGCTTGGATTACACACATGCCCCACCATGCCTGACTTGTTTGTTGAGATCGGGGTCTTGCTAATTTTTTCCTAGGTTGGCCTTGAACCATGATCTTCCTGGTCTCCCTCCCAAATGCTGGGATTTCAGGTATGTGCCACTACACCCAAACAATATTTTTCTTCTTAAAGAATCATGGTGGCAGATGCCTGTAACCCAGCACTCAGGAGGTTGAGAAATGAAAATTATCAGTTCAAGGCTAGCCTAGGCTACATAGAGAGCGAGACTGTCTCAAAAAAAGCAAAAAAGGAGAATCATTTGAATCCAAGATTTGCTTGAAAGCTTTAAAGAAAATAACTGTGTATGAAGGTAGGTAAAGCAGAAAGTGGTGCGCTTTTGACAATTGTTAAAGATGGAAAATGGGAACCACGGAGTCATTTTACTGTTGTTTGGACATATGTTTGAAATTTTCCACATGAATAGAGGTTAAAGATAAACACCTTTGGAAAACTGGCAAATAAAAACTTTAAAAAGCATCACCTAAATGTGCAATAAACGATCAAAAGGAAAAGGGGGTGGTTTTTTATTTAATAATGAGAACTGGTATCAACCAAGATTCCTTCTTTAAAAGCAGTTTTCGGCCATGTGAAAAGAAACACTGGGCTAACTATAAGACTGTAAACAAATACCGCTGCAAAATAAGCCACTCTATCTGTATGGAACCTGATAAGGATTAAAGCCAACCTCACCAAGCTCTTTTACTTTTAGGGAAAAACAGGAGGGAAGGAAGGGAGGGTTTCCTGAACAAGTGTAAAAATGGGTTTTGTTCAAGGTAAAGCTAAGGTTATCAGTTAAAGCTATGGGAAAATATAACTGTAATTAATGTTTGGCCTCCCAGGATTAACTCAGGAAGAAACCAAACTGCTCACTGTTGCCCTGGGAGAAGCAGCCACTGGACTCAACTCCACCCCTATTGGTGGCCAGCACTGGCCTGAACTGGCACACAATCTTTCCACACAGAGAAACCAACATCCTGGGTGAGGTTAGGTGACACTGCTACTGTAGTGTATTAATCTCATTCCTCTTGTTAACCTGAGACCAAAAGACAAAACAGATATCCACATCTTTCCTTTGTTCAATTTACAGAGGTGGAAAAAAAAGGTAAGTTCTTGTCCCCACTCCCTATTCCAACATCTGAAGGGACATTTCCAGGTTCTCCTCCAGCCTTTCTTTTCTCTCTTAGGGTGCACACCCATCTCTCTAACTGACCCTAGTCACAAGATGGGGGGTGGGGATATTCTAAGTTCCTTCTTGAGCTTTCTGGATCCACTGGAAATTTCTACTATCTTATACCAGCCCCTCAGCCTCCACTATCCAAGTCACTCCCTCCACCTTTCATCTCAGACTGCCTTCAGCTCTTGCTATGCTATTTTGTTAACAGAATCACCACTCACCTAGAAGACAGCCAAGTCTCAAACTACTCTGCTGACACTTATTTCTCCCCAACACCTGCCATTGATTGCCAAACTATGGTCTATCTCTATAACGATCATTGGTCTGCTTCTTACTTCCAGTATCTCTTCAACATCATTGGCTCCTAATCTATGTGGCTTTGGGAATCAGACAAACCTAGGCTTAAGAAGTGGCTCTGTCGTGACCATCTAAGTTATTTCATCTCTCTGAAAAGATAGAAGGCCAATTTCATGGGGGCATCTCTATGTGGATTAAATAAGGATTGTTTGTCAAGACTTTGATTCACAGCCTTGATAGACAACAGCGATCCTTCTAAAGACATAAATCAGATTATGCTTCTGTCACTCAAAAATCCTTTGGTGGCTCTCTATCTCACTCAGTAAAGGATAATGTTCAGAGTGGCCCATAAATCCTACATAACCCTCCCTCTCACCCTGTCACCCTCCAAGTATCTCCTACTATTTCCTCCTTACTCTATTCCAGACATATTAGCTTCCTTGAATTCCTCAAAATCCTGCTTAAGCCTGCTCCTGCCTCAGGGCCTTGGCATTTGCTGTTCTCTCTACAGTGACCAAAATGCCACCATCTAGGACAGGTCTTTAATGATCACCCCCACCCCAATCAGGATTTACTGTCCTCTTCTCTGCTCAATTTTTTTTCCTGGCACTTATACCTCTGCAGTTCTGTGTCTGATTATTTATTGTTTTGTAAGCTCTATGAGAACTGCCTTGTTCTCTGTCGACTGCTATGATTGCAGCATCTCAAATACTGCCAGGCATGTAGGCAGTGCTCGATGCATTTGCTGAACGTGAGGCAGGCTAGAAGTA